CTCAGCCAAACTTTAAGTAGAACCACGCACAAGGATCCTGGTGGAAAAGTTGGGGGAGAGATAGAAGGACTCCATAAAAAGACCAACAGCATCAACTAACGTGGGTCCATGGGGTCTTACGGAGAATGCAGCAACAACCAAGAACCATGCATGGACTGGACCTAGGCCCCCTATGCATATGTAGCCAACGGGCAGCTTAGGCTTCATGTGGGTCCTCTAGCAAGTGGAGCAGGGGCTGTCTCTGACATGGACTCTGCTGCCTACTTTTGAATCACTTCCCCCTGGCGGGCCTGCTTTGCCTGGCCTCAGTGGAAAAAGATACGCTCAGTCCTGATGTGACTAGATGTGCTGGGGTGGGTTGGTAGGGGGATGCGGCTCCCCTACTCTGAGGAGGAGAAGGGGGACAGGGGAAAGAGGGTGGGACCAAAAGGAGAGGAGGAGGGGGCTACAATCGAGATGTAAAGTGAACAAATAAAGAAGCTTATAAAAAATAATTGTTACAGCAAATAGATCCCATAGCCACTTAGCTCTTCTGAGCACACACCTTAGAACTTCTGAATCCTCCATCATTCAATTCCAAAGCTTCCCTCACGTATCTCAGTGTTTGTTTCAATGGTATCTCACTTCTCAGTACTCAGTCAGTGCCTTATAGCAAAATACCATCGGCCGCCCAGGCTGGACCACATGACTTAGCATCTCACAGTTCTAGAGGCTGGGGGTCACTGTCGAGATGATAGCCAATTTCTGTTCCTTAAGGGGCCTTTCTGGTTTATAAGCACATACCTTGCTGTGTCCTCAAATGAATGGCTATTCTGTGTATATGTTCAGAGAGGATTCTGGTGTCGCTCTCATAAGGGCAATAATCCTCAACGATCACAGCCATACCCTGGGATCTTCTTTAACTCAGATTACTTGGAGGCCCCATCTTCAAAAGCCATCACACAGCAGATTTGGGCTTCAGAATTTTGGGAGGATACAAATATTTAACCCATAACAAAGACCATCAGGAAAAAAAATGTAATCCTTTGGTAAGAATGGAAAAATGGTACAGTATAGTTTAATAATTGTACACATCAGTCCTGAATATCCAAAATCATTAATGATGTCAAGAAACTCCTGATCTTTACATGCTACTGAAGTTGTGTTCCCAAGTTCTGGGTCCCAGGTCACACCTGGTAGTGGCTTGGCGTGTCTACATCCATCCATCTGGGGTTAGAATGAAGCAGAGGAGCCTGCTCAGCTCACGTGAACAGGGGGGCCAGGAATGACCTTGGGACGGAACTTTAGGACAGCCAGGAGGAGGAGGAGGAGGAGGAGGAGGAGCATGAAAAATCTCTAGGTATTTTTGAAAGATGAAGCTAGGGCTCTCTGCCTCTTTTTTTTTTTTTTTCTTATTTGTTTCCGTTTTTAGGACCATTTCCTCTCCCTGGAGTGGTGCTCCACAAAAGCACACATTTGCTTGCCTGATGGATGCTCCCATCCTAATGAGTCATTGGGTAGATGCTATCTATGGAGCATGCCTGAGCATGATCTGTAATATCAATGCCTGAGATTCTCTACTCCTAGGAAGTCTTCCTCGGCCTTGTCCCGGTGACAGCAAGGAGTCCCTGGGGAGGTATGGAAAAAGCCAACCTATGATGCTTCTGAACTGTGATAATGGAGACAGGGTTTCCTAGACCTTCCTCATCAATGCTCAGCACTACATATGTAGGGATTCAACCTAGTGCAAGCCTTGGAGGACCCAACTTTGCTCCTTGCCCTATAACAGAACATGACTGTCTTGTCCAAATACTCCCCAACTTTTTTCTTCACCCAAATTTCCCCTTTTGTGGATAGCAAAGTATATAAAAGTGGAAAATCCCAGCCCTGACTGTTACCCAAAGAAGATAGTGGAAGTAGTGAACTGTGAAAAAGTGAAGCCTTGCTGCACACAGAGACCAGATAAATAAAATTAAAATAATCCGCTGCCTTTAACAATCCATTAAAGGCAACCCTAAATATTCCAAGCAGATTCTCAGGCCGCTGTTACCCTCCGAGGTTGGAGTTTACAGTTCATGCCCTTCTCAGAGGTGATGTTTTATGGCAGTTTTAATGAAATTATCTCATCTACGTGGGTCAGCAAGCATAAACTAAAATCTAATTTTTATAGCTTCACTCCTTTTTTTCTAATTACATAGTTGGAAATGAGTTCAGGAAAATTTTTAGAATCCCTTCTCTAATGTACAGCTTAAAGGGAATCGCAAAATTCAGAACTTTTGGTGGGAAATGTGTAGTGGAGAACTTAAAGGGCTGTTATCTTATCCCCAGAAGCCACAATACCCTTGAGAAGCCTGTGGAAACTGGGGATTCACTTCACTTCGATACACTGGGGTCCTCAGACCACAGCGATGTGGGCAGACCAGCTGCAAGTCTGCATTCACATTAAAGGACTTTGAAAATGGTGGTGAGATGGGCAAACCACTTAACTTTTAAGTTAACAACTGGGTGTTTATGCAGACTCCTGGACAGTCTTTGGAATTGGCCAGAAACTTCAGGAGCAGAGCCCCTCCGGGCCAACAATGTTTAGGCTTGGCTGAATCCATCTAAGCCTGTCCAGGGAAGAAGGGACCTGGTCTTGCCCTTGTACTAGTTAGCCTTACCTGTCACCTTGACTAAGCCTAGAGTTGTCAGAGAGGAAAGCCTCAGCTCTCAGATTGGCCAGAGGGCATTATTTGTGAGAAATGTTCATAATTGTTAGTTATATAAGAAAGGACCAATCCACTGTGGATGACGATCCTGGAAGTGTATCAGAAAGCTAGCTGAGGCTAGCCAGCCAACAAGGATCATCCCATGACCTCCGCCGTTCTTTTTGGCTGTAGAATGAGTTCCTTGGTTGAAGGTTGTGTGAATGTTAAGAAGCAGGCCCTCGAATTTCTGCCTTGAGCTGCTGCCTGAGCTTCCCTCACTCATGGAGTACTGTGACCTGGAATTATAAGATGGATAACCCTGTCCTGTCCGAAGTTGCTTTTGTCGGAGTATTTTCTCACAGCAACAGAAGGTAACTAGACCACTCCTCATCTCCGCCCCAAGATCAATGGGTGGCCATGTCAGTGCAAGGACAGAACACATGGCCATCTTTAGTCCTGGATAGTTTCTCTACCCAAGGCAGGCCCAGTCTGACTTGAGTGATCTAGACGTGGATGATGACACAGCATGTTTTGAAAGATTATCTCAATTTCTCCCCACTCTGATGCCCCAGAAAAGCACTCAAATTTGAGAGGAAAAAAAAAAAAATCTCTGAATGCAACAAACTGAGACTTGCCCAGCAAGTCCAGCCTGGGTCCCCAGGGTAGATAAGAGTTCTATGGGAAGGATCCCTAGAGTAGAGGAAAATTCCTAAAAAGCAATTCATTTGTGTGTAACTAGAAAACCTAAAGGGTGAAATGAAAATGTGATACAGTATTCAATGCTCACTTCAAGGAGGTTGGGAACTAGCCAGGAACTTGGGGTGCCTGTGGGAACCTCAGGCAGGGGTGTCTAGACAGATGTCAGGCACCATGCTGAACTCGCATTTGGCATCCTCCTGATACCAGAACAAAAACCTTCATCAGGGCTGAGAACACCCCATGTGCCAAGAAAGGCCATGCCTGCTAACAGGACACTGAGAGGAGCTATCCAACCCAGCAGCACTGTTTACTCCATCAAAACGTGTAACCGTGCTGTACTCAGAAACTAACCTAAGCAGCCAGAGACTGGAAACCATACCCTCTGGATTTCAAACGTCTTTAAGCCTGTTACCTTTGGCTGTCACACAATGTAAAGGCTGCCTGGTCCTATCTATGTCTTCAAGCCCTTCAGATACCCAAAGTCCCAACCAAACCCTGGACATCTAAGGAAACAAGATGATGTGTCAGGTCATGGGATACTTCTCAGCACAGGCAGTGGGAGAAGCCAAGGTGAACACAAAAGAGAGTGCATCTCTGACCACCTACCCCAGTCTTTCACAGGCACCTTTCCCAATCCTTCTCCCACAGAATGAAAGCCACAATGGCAAAAAAGCTGAGAACCCTGCTACCCTTGAGGATTCAGGACAGCTAGTAGAATATCCCTAAACCATGGTGGATTGGAGTTTCAGGACGCAGGGAGTCCCTGGAGTTGTAGAAGACAGGGCTTGGCAAGTTATAGAGGGCAGAAAGACTTTGCTAGAGCATGGTGTGGGCCCTAGCCCACAAAGCTATTCTGGAGGCACCCTGTGGTACCCAAGATAGCAATAAACAAAAAACAATGTTGGCTGTGGATGCTAGGCCTCCTGCCTGTGGTAACCCTATTCTCTCTCTCTCTCTCTCTCTCTCTCTCTCTCTCTCTCTCTCTCAGAATAGATCCTGCTATTTCCTGAAGCCCTACCAACCCCACCAGCCATCCCAGCTCTGGGCATGAGCCCATTATTCCCCGGAGTTGCCCACCCCCAGGGCTGTCTTGGCTCTAGGCACTTAGAGAACCGAGGACAATCCTAGCAAAGTAGGTAGAAGCCCTGAAGCAAGAGTGTCACTGCTGCTGTAGAGATGGCTCAGAGGTTAAGAGCACTGACTGCTCTTCCGAAGGTTCTGAGTTCAATTCCCAGCAATCACTTAGTGGCTCACAGCCACCTATAATGAGTTCTGGTGCATAATAAGATCTGGTGTATATATAATAAATAAATAAAATCATTTTTTTAAAAAAAAGAGTGTCACTGCTAACCAGGAGCCAGAGGAATCCCACAGATGGTTCAGCCAACAACCAAGGATCTTTCTGTCTAGGCGAGGTTAGCATGGACAGGAAGAGTTGCATGGTGGTATAACTCATTATCCACATATCTGATCACAGTTGGCCCAAGTTAAGATACATCTGAATTCCGGTGGACCTAGGTAAGACCCAACAGAGCACAGGAGAAACCCAGCTAGACCAGGAGGACCCAGATCAACTCAAGTGGACAAGTGAGACCTAGGCTTAGATGGACATATGTGCACGAGCGAGAGTCCTACCTTGGAAGAAGCTCTTCACCCTGAGGTAACTAACGCTGAGACGCAGGACGGAAAGCTTGTCCAACTTGGAGATGATGTCAGGTGAAAATGGCAGCAGGCTGGCCAGGTGGTCCAGCTCTGTATTGAGGCGGTCCCGGTGCCGTTTGGAAGGATTTGATTTCTCAGCCCCCGTGGTAAGCCTCCTGTGGGAAGAAGGCCTTAGTCATATAGGTTCCCACCAGGAGCCATTGGCCCCACAAGGAAGAAACTATTCTTCCTTGTGGTGGTGACTCCACTAAGAACATGGAAGCTGCTGCCAAGACAGAAAATGCTTATGAGAATTAGAGCTCACTCCTCCTTGAAGATGCATATGAACTAACTGAAAAGACATACTAGCAAGCTACAACCTGATATTTCGAGGAATGTGAGAAAAGTCTCAGGCAAGGATGAAGGGCATGACTACTAACTAGTGATTCTGGTGCATTTCTCAATTCCCCTACGCCAGGTTTCTAAAGAAGGGAGGATACCTAGCTAGGGCAAGAATGTGCATTGGAAAAATATATATACTTTTATCTAACTTCCTTCAAAGTCTCACAGTACTGAAGCCAAACTTAATATGCAATAGGAAAAATACAACTTTCTTGCTAGAATGGTGACAGTTTCCTAACCCCACAAGCAATCCAAACAGTTCTTGGTCATTTTGGTTCCTAGGACAATGAATTTCAGTTTGAACTAGTCCTGAAAGTCCAAATATTAAAAGAGGAATCCGGGACCTGCCAAACAACACAGGTAAGGTCCCAAAGTCAAAGCCTCCAGAGCTCCAACATTTGGAGTACCAAGAAGGCCTCTTTCCCACCACTCCACATAGCTCAGGAAACCTACCCAACCAAAGACAGTTTCAACAGGCCTCAACTACCTGCCGGGAGAGGGAGCCTTCAACCTCCCTTCATCTAACCTCTCCAGGTCTCCCTCTTCTGACCTGCTTAATTGTGGCACAGAATGAACATTTTTGATTCTTCAATCACACACACACACACACACACACACACACACACTAAGCCTCTAGAAAAGACTGTAGCAGCCAGAGTAGAGCCAATGTTGGAAAGGACAGAAGAGCAAAAAGACCTGTGATTGGTAAAACTGCAAAAAGCAGGCCTGATTCAGCAGGCCAATACCTCCTGGGGTCTCAAGGAATCTTAGAGGCCTCTCATGTGCATTTTCTCCTAAAGTCCTTCCTTTAGTGCTGGAAACTGTTGGCCTGTTTTCTACCAATGTGGACTGACTTGTAGTGAGTATTTCATGGGAATGTACAGAAACACAGATAACAGTGCACCCAACTGCACAAAACAGGATGTTTCCATGGTTCATCCATATTTTAAAGTGTATGGTTGCTTCAGAATTCTTTTTTATGGCTGGTTAATCAAGTATATAAATGGACCACATCTTATTGATCTTTCACCAATAAATAAATCTGTGGTTTTCCATTTATGATCATTGTGAATACAGATGCTCTGAGCTTTTACTCGGAAGAACTTGCTTGAATGTGTTTTGAATGTAGGCACCAAGGACCAGAATTACTGGATCTATGTAATTCTGTGCTTAATATTTTGAGGAATCTGAAAATAGGGCTGCACTGTGCACACCTGCACCATTTCAGGGACCCTCCAGAAGTACTTGGGGCTACAATTTCTCTGCATGCTTAACTAGACCTGTTTAGTTCTGTTTTTATTACAGTCAGTGGCTATGAGGTAGTATTTCCTTGGGGCTCTGATTTTCACTTCCCTGATGATTTATCATGCTCTGAAGTTTATCCTGTGCTTCTTAATTTATATATCTTTTTTGAAAAATGGCAACCCAGTCCTTTGATGTCTTTTGATTGGGCTGCCTTTTGGTTTTGGGTTGTAAAAAATCTTTGTATGTATATTAGGCCTTTATCTGATATATGATTTGTAAATATTTTCTTCTCTCTATTGGTTGCCCTAATCTGTCTACTTTCGGTGTTATTTTAAATTGCCAGCCAAAACTGAAATAGCCTGGCACAGAATACCTAGGACAACCTGGCAAGGGGCCCACTCTATGAATTACACATATCCGAAGACTTCATACAAAACAAACAGGACATCTGATGGACAGATATGGATAGGGTGAGAGAGTGGAGGAGAACCATGGCAGTGTTGAATAGAGAGAGGGAGACAGCAAAATCAGGGTGGGCTGGGACATAGGCACTTGAAAGAGATACTTAGTGTCCAAAGCAGTGTGATGGCTCCATATGAGGGTGTGTGCTCAGAAATCAGGTCTGTACTCTTTACCACAACCCTGGGCCATCCCAGGACCTACTCAGCCTCGGGCATGGATCTTCCCATTTGTGCTCTCCAACTTTAGTTATTTCAGTGTCCTCGGAAGTCCAGCTGAGCAGGGGATCCCTAAGTCATAAGCCTGAACTACTTTTAACCTCTATCTAGATCTAAAGTAGAGGTGTCTTGACCTGTCCATGCGGCGTGGCACTTACACCAGCTCCAGCTCTGACTATCAGGTCTTTCTGTGCAGAGCACATGAAGGGTGCTGCCTGCAGTAGGCTGAGCCCCTGCACTCCAAGTCTCTCCATTAGGCTCAGGGTAGGGCACTGCCCAGTGCAGTAATTGTGGCAGGATCATAGCACACTTTGCTTTCCTCCTCTGACCCTCAGGACTCATAGACACCTGTCACTGCCACCTATTCTCTGCACTCTACTTCCCAGTATCAGTTCCATGAAGCAGGTGGTACCCTATACAGGTGGGTGAGAAAGGATAGATAATCAGGGGTGGCGGGGAGCAGTCCATCTAGAAAGCACACTCTCCTGGGTTTGTGGTAGGTTCAAATCCAGGGCAAATGTGGAGGCAAGGGTGGAATTCCCACTAACTCCTGAGAGAGAAACAGCAAGAAGTGAGTAGTGGCTCACTCAAGATGACCAGCAGCACAGAAGAAAAAGGAGCAAGAGGTAAGCAGCAATTAGCTCCACTAGACAGAGTCACAGAAGACCCCTTAACACCAACAATACAGGACAGAGTGGACCAACTTAACAAGAGATATCCAGGACACTTCGGAAAACATTGCTGATTAAAATATAAATGGAAAGGTATTTCATGTTTTTAGGTTGAAAATACAATATTGTTAAGATGCAACTCTTCCTGAAAATGATCTACAGATTCAATACCATTTCCACTAAAATTCCAACAGGGATTTTAACATGATTATAACATTAATGCTCAAGTTTACACAGAAGGCAAAGAACCTAGAATAGCCCATTGAAAAGAATACACCACGAGGACTTACCTCCTGATTTTAATGAATCACAGAGCCAAATGTAAAATGGAATATGAAACTTTACAAGAACACATGTATGAAAATCTTTCACACTTTTGGGTAGTCACAGGCCTCTTAGTACACACATGGGTGCGCGTGCACACACACACACACACACACACACACACACACTCTTTTGGAAAAAAAGAAAGTAAAAAGCAGATAAAGAGAATCGGGTTTGTTGCTGTTTAATTTCTTGAGTTCTTTATATATTCTGGACATTAGCCCTTTGTCAGATGTAGGAGAAGATCCTTTACCAATCTGTCACCATACAACAAGAACATTTGCTCAACTATGTTCATAGCAGTTTTATTTGGAATAGCCAGAAACTGGAAACAACCTAGATGTCCCTCATCAGAAGAATGGATAAAGAAACTGTGGTACATTTACACAATGGAATACTACTCAGCCATTAAAAACAAAGAAATCATTAAAATTTTAGGCAAATAGATGGAACTAGAAAAGATCATCATGAGTGAGGTAACCCAGACTCAGAAAGACGCACATGGTATATACTCACTTATAAGCAGATTTTAGTCATAAAGTACAGGGCAGACATAATACAGTGCACAGACCCCAAGAAGATAAGTCCAATGGGCATTGTAGGTTTAATGTGGGCTCACTAGTTAGGGGACTGGGGGATATCTCTCACATGAACTATGTTGCCTGCTTTTCGATCACTTCCCCCTGATGGGACTTCCCTACTAGGCCACAGGAGAGGAAGATGAACTCAGTCCTCATGTGAATAGATGAGCTGGGGTGCCTGGGTAGGGGGGCTCCCACCCTCCAGCATCCCCTCTGAGGAATAGGAGAGAGGGGATGCTGGAGGGTGGGTGGGGCTGGGAAGAGAGGAGGGAGGGGCCTATGACCAAGTGTAAATTGAATTAATTAATAAAGAAAAAAACACAAAACAGTAAAAAAAAAAAATCAGGGATTTTAGTATCACAACTTCCACATTGTCATGATATTAGGACAGTGTCCCTCAGTGGTCCTAGAGATTATGATGTGGAACACCAAACATGCTGTTGGTGACACCAGGCATTCACTCCTGGGAGGAAGTTATGAATTAAGACATACCCTTAACTGCCAGGTGACAGCTAGGGTTCTGAAGAAGAGGAATTTGATAACTGAATGAGCACTTAGAAATCACTTGGCACTTACAGCATTGTCAACAGCATCAACTTCAGGCTGCCTGTGTCGTTTACCCATACCCTTACCTCCCCCGGAGACAGGTGGGAGGGCCTGGACATGTGTGCTGCAGATTTATATTGCAGCTGGAAAACGCAGAGCCTAGTGGACATCAAAAGATGGAGTTAACACCCGTGGGAGAACACACTTCATATATTCAGACTGTGCAGCAGGGAAAGTGCAAGCTGTGGCACAGACTCCGAGGTGTGCAAGTCTGTATGCAACACGATCGCGCATAGAAAGGAAAGGAACACACGCTGCGCGCACATCCCAGGGAGCCCTCACAGGCAGTGCTAAAGCCAGGTGCTTTTTGCAAAGGGGCCAAGTGTGGAGACATTCCCCGGAGCTGTGAGCCAAGCAAGCATTCTATCATTTCAGAGCATCCATAAATCAAATGTTAGCCGGGCTTAGTGGTGTTTGCCTTTAACCTTAGCAGTTGAGAGACAGAAGCAGGCAGATCTCTGTGAGCTCCAAGCCACTCAGGGCTACATAGTAAGACCGTGTCTCAAACACAAATGAAATAAAATAAAATGTAAGTATGCAGTACCTCAAACATTGCCTCACTTTTGCATTGGAGTAAAAATATTATGAAGGCAAAAAACGAATCTACACTTCCTTCCACACTTCCCACCATATACCACTGTTTCAGCTGAGTGATAAAGTTACTTTCTGTCCTTATTTATCTGATAAATGTTATATAAATAAACCTAAATCTCTGCCATAGAGGAGCACATTTCATGCTTACTCTCATGGGCTTTATGTGTTCTCTTCAGTGCACTCAGATCCCCCTCCCAGCACTCCCCCTTATCAAAGACCTACATTCCAGCCTACTGCAAACACCGCTGTTCAATGCCTCCAATCTCCAAGTAACCATTTCAAAGTCCAGCCTCACCCTCAGGGCAACCTCAGCTTCTTGCAAGTCTTTGGATTCCCAGGGTCTTAAATTTATACAGGATCTTGTAGCCCTGGAGGCCAAGAAGAGTAGCTCTGTCACATACAAAGACAGCACAGCTAGAAAAAGCTGCCGATGGGTGCCCCACTTACGTTCTGCTCCACCCCAGCCTCACATACAGCTGTATCATACACCAAAGCTGTATCACATATTCAGAACACCCATCCCAAACCACCAAGCCCCCTTCTCTCTAACACACACACACACACACACACACACACACACACACACACACAAAAAAAAAAAAAAAAAACCCAACAACAACAAACCACAAAAAGACACAGTCCCCAGATGCTGATGCTCACAGATTCTATACAAGGGGCCAGAGGCAGCCTGTGGGCCTCCTGTGGACGCTGTAACTCAGCCGATTCCCTGGAAAGTGTTCTAAACCCTGCTATTGCTGGAATCACCACAAATCACCACACACCCCTCACTTTGACCACTCTGAGGGCTGCAAGTTAAGCCTAGACAGAAAGACCACAAGCAATTGTGTCCCTGAAGGATATGGGTCTAAGCCCTGGGCTCCCCCATCTCTCTACCTTCACAGACCTGGAGTAGGGCGAATGAACCCCAAAGACCCTCTGTCCTTTGGAGAGTGAGGACTAAACCCTGGGGCACTTCCCACAGACAGAATGACTCCTTGCTGAAGGGAGCAACAGTTCCAAACATATTGGTGACACATCCCTCACCCAAATGAGACCTCCACCAGTTCCAGCCAGAACTTTGTGCCCGGGTCGGAAAAGCTGCCTAAAGGAAACTTGCCTGCTAAAGACAGCCAGTGACAAGTCACGTTTTCATGTGACCCAAAGACCACCGTGACCATGTCTACCAGGAATGTTCTCCAAAGCTTCCCTCAGACTATGTTTGCCTGTAAAATTACCCCTCCTCAGGAAGGCATAACATGTCCCTCATTTCCCCAGGGAGATCAGGATGGAAAGCATGATACTCTACCGCTTCTGAATGGGTTTCCTTCTCTTCCTACCAGCATACGTACACTCTCCCGATGGAATCATCATCTTTGATCCTAAAAAAGAAAGGGGGCATTGATTCAGTCACACGAAGAAACCAATGTGGCATCTCCACATGTGCCTCCTATAGTCACCCCAAAGCAGGAAGGTCAGTCAAGGCCCACTGGTTCTCATGCAGGGCAACACTGCAAGCCGGAGTGCGCACTATTACAGATCATATAGACAGAACTATGGAGAGTTCTGCAGTGGAGGACAAAGTGGCTGCCTGGGAGAACCTCTCAGTTTTACTCTGGACAGAGCTGTTACATAAGTGGTGGAGCAGGGTGAATGCTACTGAACCTCAAGAAGCTGATGCTTTCAGATACATACCTCCTGCCTGTCTGGACAGCCCCCCCTCACCCACAACCCTGCAGGGTTAACAGGCCCCAGTCTTTTGTGTCTTATTTCTTTTCAGCTCTATGTGCTGGGATTCCACTACGGTCACACATGCTCAGCCACCTACAGCCCAGCTAACGGCATCCTGTGGTGCTAGATACATGCACATGCTCGCCACAGAAGTCACTGAAGCAGCCCAGGACCTGCATGCATTTGAGAGTTGGCAACTTCACTGCCCTTCATCAAACATAAGGTCCCCCTTTCCTGCCATAGAGTCTTGACATTCCTAGTAGTAAGGACATCCGAGCCTTCACAGATTCTCTCAGACCCCTGTTGCATTCCCCAGTAGCCTGAGAATGTAAATGAGGAGTTCTGACTTGACCTCATGTGTGCATCATCTGGAAAAGGTACCACTGCTACCCCTGGAAGTGGCTGTGAAAGTCTCAGAACTATGTGATTGATCTCCTTTAAGGATAAAGAGAGGCAGGCAGAGAAAAAGAAAACTCATAGAATAGATAGTCCATCCAAACACTAATCACATGCCCTAGAGTAGCATGAGACTATATAAAGTACATGCACCCAACAACTAATACAGTTAAGACAAGAGTTCGGCATGGGTCCTCATAACCCACTGTCAACAATCAATAGGACATCAGTACGTGGCATGCACAAATTATAGCTTTCTGTAACTCAGGAGAGCTACAAAACATGCCCTTCAGCATGACCAGAGTATATGTTAGTTCTGTGCACGCGGAATATCCACCATGATAGATTTTACTGTAGGACTTACATAATCCCTAATAAATCTAAAACGACAGAAATCATACAAATCATATACTGGAATTAAACTAGAAAGACATCCGGAAATTTCCCAAATATTTGGAAAGCAAGGAACTCATAATTAAAATACTTATAAATGAATGAAAATACAAACATACCAACTTTGTGAAATGGAACAGTAAGTACTTTTTAGAAAAAAATCAAATGAATAATCTAAACTTCTAACTGAAGCAACTAGAATGGAAACTCAACCTAAGTCAAGCAGAAGAAAAGCAAAGAAGAGAAGGTATGAAACTTGAAACAAAAATGAAAAACAATCAATGAAACTAACAGTTGACTCTTAAAAGAGCAACAAAATGTGAAAGCCTTTATCCAGGATGATCAGAAGAATAAAAGACACAGACTACCGGAATCAGAAATGAGGGAGGTCATTTCCACAAATCCCACAGGCTTTGGGGAGGCTAAAGAGATTACTGATATAGACTGAACTGTGTCCCCACAAATCCATGTTGAAGCTGAAACCTTCACATAAACATGGGGCATGAACTCAGGCACTAAGGAAGTGAGGTCGGTGGGTGGGTCCTCAGCTCTACAGAGCTGTGCTCTTGGGAAAGGAGGAAGGCAATGAGGCTCTTTCTCTCAACACTTCAGGAAGACAAAGGGGACACAAGGCTATCCACCAGCAGAAAGACACCCTCATTGGAACCTGAGCCGCATAGCATCTCAGTCTTTAATGTCCATCTTCCAGAACAGTGAAGGATGGAGATCTGCACTTCAATCCGCCTGTGATAGTTTCCCATGGTTACCCAAGACACAAGGACAATTAACTTCCCCATAAATCCAACAACTCAAATGAAATGGAGCAATTACTTCAGGGGCATGGACTATTAAAACTCACTCAAGAAAAATAAATAACATAGATAGTTCTATATCCCAACAAAGGAAACTGAACCCCAAATGCTTCCCTGTTATAGTCCACTAAACTTAAAGTATTAATAAGAACAATTCCATGGCTTATGGGAGAAAAACCAAATAATACTCATGTGTGAGTTCTTTCCTATTCTGCTATCAAAGCAAAGATATTACAGAATAAGGAAATTTTAAGTTAGTTCCCTTTGTGAACATAGACATGGAAATATTAGCACAGAGAATTCAGCAATACAAAAATACACCAGACCTCAATGGAATTTGTCTAAATAATTCAGATTTTTTAAATTCTCTAAATCAATCACTGCAGTTCATTATATTACTACTAATAAGCCAAAGGAAAAATATGATCATCTTAATACCTACAAAAATCATCTGACAAAGCCTAAGTCCACTTATGATCATTAAAAACCTCACCTAAAACTATGGAGAGAAGGGAATGTAATGAACTTGATGAAGGGCATCTACAAAAAAACTTAAGCTAACTTCCTACTTAATGGTGAAAGATTGAGTCTCCCTCCACAATCAGGAACAATTATATATGTTGTATTTCTCTACTCCTATCACACATCACATTGTGGATTAGCCAGAGAAAATAAGGTAAGAAAACTAAATAAACGTCATAAAACTTAGAAAGGAAGAATTCAAACTTCATCTCTTCATAGGTAATGTGATGATACATATAGAAAATTTCCTGAAAAAAAAAAACACTTTGAAAAATCTCCTATAATCTGGGCATGATGACACAAGCATAGTGCTTCCCGTTAGCACTGGGGAAGCAGAGGCAGGCAGATTTCTATGGGTTCAAGGCCAGCCTGGTCTGCAAAGCAAGGTCTAGGCACGCCAAAGTTATAGAGTGAGACCCTGTCTCAAAACAAGCAAACAAAGGAACAAATGAAAAAAAAAAAACTTCATATAATTAGCCATTAAGTTAAGCAATATCAAAGAGTAAAAGAACAATATACGAAAGTTAATTATACAACTATATCCTGGCAATGAACCAATGTAATATAGGGTTTTAAAGCTATAGCGTTTAAAATAACACCCAAGTAAAAATAAAGTAGATGTCTCTAACGTCCTGACATGTGTAAGTGGACCTTTAAAGAACAGGAAAGGTTGAAGGGATACTAGAAAAAAGTTAATGCAATGAAAATCATAAACTACAGATACAAGAGGCTCAGTGAACCCCAAGCACAGAGAGAGAGAGAGAGAGAGAGAGAGAGAGAGACGAGAAAGAGAGGAAGATTACACTGAAGTACTTCATATCCAAATTGCTCATAGTCAGAGACAAATAGAATAATTTTAAAAAACCTAATACTATAGTATTTGGTACAGCAAAATATAACAATAAAGGACAGCAACAGACTCTTCCTCAGAAAGAATACAAACAAAAAGATAGGGAAGCAACAAAATTAAAGCACATTTAAAAGCATAATAAAAGTGCCTTTCAAAAATCAGTTTTTAAAATTTCTGAAATGCAGGTTTGGATAGATGGTTTAGTGGTTAAGAAAGCTCACTGTTCTTTCAGAGGACTAGAGTTCAGTTTCCAGTACACATGTCAGGAAGCTCACAGCCACCTATAATTCCAGTTCTAGGGGATCCAATGCTCTCTTCTGGTTTCTTTTGGCATACACATACACACACACACACACACACACACACACACACACACTTATAAAACAGTAGTTGGCAATTTAGACAACAATCATGATAGTATATTGTGAAATTTATGAGATGTGTACATCAAAAGCCAACAGGAAAGACACCATTCATGGGATGGTATAAAAATACTAGGAAACAGTTCTGGTTATCCACCTACTGTTTTAAGGTTCCCAGTCACCTTTGCTTGCCTGTTCTGCATGAAGATACTGGGCCCTTGGAATATTTCTTTTTAGAGGGATCACGATGTTACACCTGCCAGGAGAGGGCACCAGAGGCACCCTGGAAGAGAAAGGGCCTTTTCTGATTCTGCAACTGATTTTCCTCTTAGCTCTTAGCACTGCAAAAGCTAAAAAATTTAGCAACTTCCTCTGCCACCTGGAGGTTTGAATCATACCTTCCAAATGGCTTGATTCCCATCTCTGCAAAGGGGACCTCCTTAGGTGTTCTCCCTCTACCCAGGGTCCTCTTCTGGGTTCCTTTTCACCGTTATAGTTAGTCCAGTGTTACAGTTATACTGCTTAAAGTAATAAGTTAATACTGTATTAAACATGAAAGCTAATAAAAATTCAAGAAAATTAAATCAAACTAAGAAATGATCACACACACATACAGCATGCAAAGAATTTGCTTCTGTGTAACTGTCAGGGAGGGCAATGGAGTCTAGATGGCTTGGTTGGAAGAATAAGGTTCAAATTAAGCCATGTCTGCCGATATTGATAATTAACCATCTATGCTGGTTCATGAGCAAAGAGCGTTCATTGTACAGTTCTTCCCACCTTCAAAAAGGCTTGGAATTTTCCTTAACAAAAGGCATCAAAGGGGCTACAGGAATGATACAGTATTTAGGAGTACATACTACTATTACGGAGGACCCAAAGTTGATCCCCAGGAACCACTTCAGGTGAGTTACAAGCACCTGTAACTCCAGCTTCAGGAACTCTTACTTTTTAAAAAGGTATAGGGGCTGGCCTGATCATGCACATCTGTAACCCAGGACTTAAGATGCTAGGGTAGAACAATCCTGAGGTCAAGGCCAATCTCAGCTACTTTAACAAGACCCCATGTATAAAATAAATGAATTCGTAAGTGGGATCTTTAAGGGAGAGAACACATGGCATAGAGCGGTCGCACTGTAGTCAGTGACTTCCAGCTACAGTTACACAACTCGTGATGAGTCAAGTGGATGCTTACATGCAAGAGGATGAGCCTGGGCCCTGTCACTAGCATTCAGGAAAGGCCTAAACGTAAGGGCTAAAGCTTCAGCACTCTCAGAAACAAAAGGATTACAACAGACAAAAGTAATACAAGCCTGCATGTCCTTAAATGTGACCGTACTTTTAGTTCTGGTATCAAAAGCACGAGTAACAAAACAAAGGCTAAGTTGGATTTCATCAAAATAAAGCTTTTGTCTCAAAGCACACTGTGGAGAAAGTAAAAGCGGTACTAGAGAGCTGTTGCAGTGGTCAAGAGCATTTGTTCTTCTTACAGAGGACCTGGGTTTGCTTTCCAGTACCATACCATAGCTCACAACCACCAATGCGCCACACATGCATGTGGCACACATAAATAACTGCAGACAAAACACTCATCCACACAAAATATAAAAGGAAACATTTTTAAATTTAAAAAGAAAGTAAAAAGATGATGCGGAGAGTGGCAGAAAACACTGGCAAGTCACATCACACGTGGGCCTAGAAACTACTACAACTCAACAACACAAAGTGCAGGGGGGGCAGGAAGCTGCAGGAGTGATGAGGTCGAAGGAAAATCTTCAGACTGAAGGGGAGAGTGTCCAAAGAAGTGGGGATGGGGGAGAAGGAGGGGAGAGGTACAGATAGGTGGGTGCTGAACAGTAGAGATAAGCTGGAGCAGGACAGGCTCCTGTGAGAAGGGACAGAGGTGGGCAATGACGTTCAGAAGGCCCACCTTCCTGAGAAGGCCTGTGAGATGCTGGCCTCAGCCTATATCGAGCCTATATCCACATCTCCAGTCAGTGGAATTCTCCAAAAAACCAGATTGGGTATGCAGTGGCTGGAGGCCAGTATGCGAAGCCATCCCACTGGGTCTGCAAAGGACTTCCAACTCAGACAGGAAACTTCCAGGCCACACCCGGGCCTGTCCCCAAAGAACAGGCCATGGATGCTTCCTGACATCCTCAGAGGACCGAACACATACTACACCCATCGAACCAACCTCCAGCTCAGTAAAGTGAAGGAAGGGGATCCTAGAAGAGCCCAAGTCCCAGCACCAGCAGCTTGACCAACATAATGGCCAAATAAGTCTGGGGGCAGGAAGAGGAGGCAACTAAGGATGTATAGGAGCACAGAGGCCACAGCGGAAGGCTAGTGTGAACCATCTTTATTCTCTTACCTCATACAGCAGAACTACGGCAAGGGCTACGATCTGGGTATGGCGTGAGCCTGTCTAGCCCTCGTAAACAGCCACTTGCTGCTGATTACTGTTGTCTAAAATATCTTCCTAGATGTCTCCAGTGGACTGTGAGGAACAGACCTAAAATGCAGGTTCTTACTAAAAGTACCAATGCTGCTCTGTGCCCCCACAGCAGAGGAGCAATAAGCAACTTGATGGCACCCACAGCCAGCTTTGAGTTTTGTCCCCACCTTGGTCTCTGCATAGGTCCCCAGCACAGTGTCCCTTGTGTGGCTTCTTACAGAAAGGAACAGGAGCCCTGGTGTTGCTGGAAACCTGAGTGGCACAAACGCTGGAGGCCTCCACCCTATGTTACTGCCCCAATCCCAGTTGGGGAGCCCTCTCCTCATTAGAGGTGACTCTAGTCCCCTTTCTAGGGTTCTCCTGGAGGAGGTCCAGGCTTTGCACAGTTCTGGAAAGAGGGTCCCTCCAGAAAAGCCGTATTTTGCAGCTGGTTCCACTGTTTGGATTCATGGGCTCTTTCCAGCTGTGGCTTCACACCAGTTTCCCTTGTGGCCAACTACGTCTCCTTTCCACATCTTAGAAGCGGACAGGGGACATCTCTTCAATGAAGACTGGTGGACTCTTGGTAGCCAGAGCTGAGCCATGGGGCCATGGGCAACAGGCATGTGAGAAAGCCCAATGCTGACAGCAGGGCCTGCCCTCTGTGGCTTGTAGATCTTCTATTCACTAAGACATGAGCTGATCAAATTTCTCAGGTCAAAGTTAACTGCTACTAGTTTTGTATAACAGATAAATAGAAAACAGGTTTTTTTAAGTCCCCTGTGTATGTGGTAGCAATATTTCAGTCTCCTTTCTAGTCTTGCACTCCTGATAACTTTGAGACCATGTTGAGTTACTGAGAAGGCAAGGTGGAAAGAACATATTTGTTCTAAACACAAACACTGCCAGTCCTGCCCAGGCACGGTCAAATTGTCTATTCCAATAGCTTTTTCTGTAAGATGGTTGGCAGCAGACAGCTGGTGGGGCTACCGCTTTAGCTGAACACAGCCCCCAGTCTGGGATAATTGGCCATACACCTGCCCGTGACAAAGACAGCCTCTGCACACCACAGCAGGCTCTCCTAACCAAGCAGGCCACCTCCCCGTGATGGGCCAAAGTGAACCAGGTTCTGAGGCTGAGGAAGAAGTAGACACCATCAGTACCCTAAGCTCTGGGATATAAGGCCCAAAGTGCCACACAAGTTTCTCCTAGAGCAGAGCCCGTAAGTTTAGCAGGACACCGTCCTGAGGAGCCAAGCTACACCTACCACGCTGGCCGGGGTACCACAGCTAGCAAGACCCCACGAACCCAAGCCGTGGAACCAGCTCTAAAACACGGCTTTTCTGGAGGGACCCTCATGCTGGAACTGTGCATAGCCTGGACCTCCTCCAGGAGAAGCCCTAGCCTAATGAGGAGAGGGCTCCCCAACTGGGATTGGGGCTGTAACACAGGGCCGAGGCCTCTCGGTTTGCGCCACACAGATTTCCAGCAACACCAGGGCTCCTGTCCCTTTCTCAAAGAAGCCACACTTCGGAATTTTCTACCACTCAAAATCAGAGAGAGCAAATATTTCTGCTGCCACTACTGGCGAATTCCTGGAATGGTGGAATTCCCTCCAAAGCGTCAATCGCAGGTTACTGCCCTCTGATCTTCACGAAGGGGCTGCTGCGCCACTTCCCCTGGCTGTGCCTGTGGTGCCTCAGTCCTAGAAACAACTGAGGCAGACTGTGGGGAGCCGCCTGCCAACATCTGCAAAAAACCTTCTAAAAGACGTTAGGTCCAGGGCAAAGGACTCCCTCGTGCGGGACAGGTATATGCTCATTTGCATTGCGAGAGTGAAGAGGGTCGGGGCAGGATACCCGAGAGACGGGGAAAACTGACCTGACTGGCTTCCCTCAAAGGTCTGAGTGTCAAGAGAGAAGCCCCTGGAGTGCCCATCACTTTCAGCAATTTTGGGCCCTCCAGACGCAAAAATAAGTGGGAGAAGGGGCCCAGACCAAGCAGGACAGTCTCAGAGTGGCCACTGCAGAGGCGGAGACCGGAGAGCCCGCGAAGCCCGGGAGCACTTACCCGGGGCAGGCGGGGCGCAGAAGACCGGGCGCGCCCGCTGAGGGAGCCGCGGAGGACAGGAGCTGTCAGCTCTCTCATCTCGGGACCTGGCCTCAGGACCAGAGAAGGAAAGCCCCACCCCAGCGTGCGAGCCGCCCTGCCCCGCCCGGAGCGGCAAACGCAAGGGAAAAGCGGCAGGGGGCGCACACACATCCTCCTCCCTGCCTGCCACGCGCTTTGAGTGGCTGGGGTTCCTGGGGCTGAGGGCCTGGACAGGATGACCCTCGTGCCCTTCAAGTCCCCGCAGTCCTCCAGGTCTTTGTGCCTAAATGTGGTCTTACCCCTGGGCCTCTCGAGGTCACAGAGCAAATTTCCAGTTTGTGCACCAAATCCCACCTGGGCCTGAGGAAGTCCAGGTATTCCCCGTTTTGGAGAGCTGTGGGTTGGAGCCTCTTGGCTCTTAGGGCCAGAGGGTGAGAATAGGTGACCTAGATTTAGCGTGTCCCTCCTCTCCTGCTGTTTGGAGAATAAAAAATATTAAAGATACAATATGTTTATACTTCGCAAAGTATAAAATATTAGTTTGCTACTTACAGAACTTATGTCACTCTCAGGAGTGAAACATATTAGGCACATTGGGATCTTTTAGGGGACGTTCTCATCTGAAACTTTTCAGGACACCGCATGGTGGCTAGCCTCAGCCCTAAATATCTACCAGTTCTACGGTCCCACCTCGCCTGGGAATCAGAACTCCTGCTAACAAGTACAATGTCTTTCTCTCTCTCTCTCTCTCTCTCTCTCTCTCTCTCTCTCTCTCTCTCTGGTGTGTGTGTGTGTGTGTGTGAGTGTGTGTGTGTGTGTGTGTGTGTGTGTGTGTGTGTGTGTGTGAAGTTCCCCGTGTGAGCAGTCTGTCCTCCATGTTCCACTCCTCACCCTGCCCTTCCAGCCTTCCACCTAGGCAGCCAATCCTGAGTTTTATTCTCCCCATGTTTCCAGCTTCTGGGATGCACCCTAATGTCACTGTCCATTGGCAAGGGTTCCCCAAAAGTACCCTTAGCTTTGCACTGGCTGTTTGATCGGAAGGCATTCCCTTCCCTAGAATTTCACAAGGGACTAGTCCTGGGATCTCAGAATTGAAGGAACCTTGGCTCTCCCATGCATAGCTCTGAAGCTGAACAACTGACATGGAGTTTGTCAGTTCCACCAGCAAATCTGGAAACATGAACCAGGAATAGTGACTGGGTAAATGTATTTATATTGGGTTTTGGCATCAAACAATGTACAGCTACACTACCATGGTTTTTGTTGTCGTTGTTTGTTGGAATTTTTGCTGTTTGTTTGTTTGTTTGTTTGTTTTGAGACAAGAGTTTCTCTGTGTAGTTCTGGCTGCCCTGGAACTCACTCTGTAGACCAGGTTGGGATCTAACTCAGAGATCCACCTGCCCCTGTCTCCTGAGTGCTGGGATAAAAGGCAGGAGCCACCACCACCTGGCTCACTACCGTGTTTTAAAAAATATCATTAATTATATCTTAATCTGTTTTTTCTTGTAATATAAACTATGCATAGAAAAACTTAGTTTGCTAAAACTGAGGTTATTGTAAACTTTAAAAAAAAATTTTCACAGCTTGTGATTCTTGTGTAGTTGCTTTTGATAACTGCAGGAGTAGTGTAGGTGGCGTCTGAGAGGCAGATGGGAAAGGCCCTGCTGTGCACAGGGGAACTGGCAGCAATAGGTACCCTAAGCATTTGGGCTTTGCTGTCCCTTTCAGGACCTGTAGTACTTTCTAAAATGAGCCTGCTCTCCCTCACAGGAAGAAAGCCTCTACATATCAAGACAAATACAAGTCCCACCACATTTTCCTTGTCCCCTCAAAACCAACAGGGAGAGGACAGTTTCACTATTGATGTCTGGACTGCTGGGGCAGGAGAGGCTGGCTCTGCCTCAGGACAACAGGAAACTTGGTCCTTGACACCTTCATAGGTATAGTTCATAAATCTGAGTTGTTCCTCATATTGTTCTCAGAGTCTCAGGCCTCTGCAAAGATGACCCTTCCAGAGGAAGTATCACCTTTAAAGCCCATGGACCTAGACGACAGAGCACCCCATGTTAGGAGCTCCACCTCCTAGGGTATTCCATACTAAGATGGTTTTAGCCTCCCCAGCAGTGTTTTCTGGACACAGGAACTAGTCTACACTTGCAGCTTCTATTCCTATGGCTTCCCAGGGTTCCTGCACCCTTACAGATATGACCACCTGCCCCTTATGACAATGGTCAAAATTCAAATGAAACCGCCATGGCCACAGCATCATCTTTCTGCGTTGCAGAAAAGACACCATTGGGAGCCTTCTGCCCCAGCACTCTTCCCTGCTCTCTCTCTCTAGTCAGGACCACCAACTGGAATCAGAGATGCCAGGCCACTGAGCTATCCCCATGCAAAATTCTACCTATTGTATTCTGGTCCCTTTCATGGACTACTTGCTGTCCCCTGACTTTGCATGTGTGTGGGCAGTGAGTACTGCTGGGAGCTTGGGAAACATAAAGAACCTGGGTACCACAGCCAGCCCTAGGAACTCTGCTCTGGATGTGGTAGTTCCTGAGAGTTGCTGCCACACCACCCACATGATGACCACTGGAAGGCACCCAAGGCCAGCTCCAGCTCCTAGACCTTACAGAGGCATCTGGAAGTGCAGAAGGACAAACAGCTTTCTTTATAACTGAGCTTCATTGGCAGTAATTTCAACTGTTCCTGGCCTCTCTGACCTGGGCAGACAGGAGTGTGCTATACCCTCTGTGAATGTTTGAATAGTGTTTGAATGGTCCCCATAGACTCATATATTTGAATGCTTGGTCCACATTTGGTAGAACTGTTTGGTAAGGATTAGGAGGTATGGCCTTGTTGGAGAAAGTGTGTCACTTGAGGTGGGCTTTGAGGTTTCAAAAACCCACCCCATTGCCAATTATCTTTCTCCCTCTGCCTACCCTTCTGCAAGGTGTAAGCTCTCAGCTCCTGCTCCAGGGCTACGCCTTGCCTGTCTGCTGCCATGCTTTCTGCCATGATGAGCAGGGACTCATCTTCTGAAAACTGCTAACAAGCCCCCAATTAAATGTCTTTATGTATAAGTCATCTTGGTCATGGTGTCTCTTCACAGCAATAGAAAAGTAATATGTTGGAGATAGGTCTTATGCTTGTATTTTGATGCTAATTACTGGCCCTCAAGATCTGGTTACTTCCCAGATACACCTATCCTTGTGTAAACCTGCCTAAGACTTTATACCTGATTGGTTGTTTAAAAGGCCTAAACCTGAGCAGGGCAGAATGGTGTGGGCATGGCTAAGGTTCCCGGCCTTTGGGAAGAGGAGAATCATGGGAAGAAGACAGATGAACAGGAAGAGAGGAGGAAGGAAGGTGACATGATGGGTTAGCATGGAGAAGGAACCACGTGAGTCAGGAGTAACATTCCAATAATGGTGTGGAAAGGCCCAGATGAAAAATGCAAGTAAGTATTTATAAGATTATGGATGGAAGATAGCCCAGATGAGGATGGTTAGGGTGGATGGCATTGGATGGGGGCTGGGAGGTGGATGGTGAGACAGCGTAGGTGAAATATCTGCCCAGCCCAAGGTAAATAAGGCAATTATAAAATTAAACAGGTGTTTGTGTCTTATTAATTGTGATAGCCAGCTAAATAATACCACTGTAATAATCATAGGGCAAATAATAAATAATATATAGCCCAACACCCATTTTATTGCAAAAATAAAAACAAAAACAAAGATACCTCTGAAATCAGTTCAAAACCCTGCATAGGTGTGAGCTGCTCTCTTCACACAGGCACCTAGTGTCAAAGTTCTCCATTATGACTGTCTTCTCCATTTTTTGTTTTTTCTGAAGGACAGTAACGGATCTGAGTATTGCATAAAAGCATCTGAGAAGCTCCTACTGCCCAGTAAAGTCTGTCTCTTCCAACCAACCCACCTGCATCACAAACTGCCTTTAGCTAGATGTGCACTGTAGAGGACTATGTGGCTTCCTACTCCCTGGACATCCTGCCCTCACAGGTCTCTGGGATTCTGGGGCTGCAACCAGGGAGGTATAGATTAGAGGCTTCCCAGCGATGGTTGCAGAAAGCATCTAAGAGACAGAGCAGTACAAGAGGCTCGACTGGCCAGGACACCTAGTAAATAAAATGTAGCTAAACTCTGAAGACCTTGGCTGTGGCAGCATGGCAGTGTGTATAACCTAAAATCCACACCTCAGTGGGCATTATCTCTGTGACAAGCATGGGAAACAGTTTTTTCAATTTCCTATACCTGAGTCCAACAGAAACAGAAACTCCTAGAAAGCTTGAGGTTTGAGATGCCCATAGGGAATCAGCAGAGCCCCTTAATCCATCTTCTGAATGTGGTCAGGTGAGTCCTGAACACATCCTGTCCCGATAAACCCTGCTCTGAGAGCAACTCCCCAACCTCTGCAAGTCTCAACTAGACCTGGAAGACTCTAGCTACGTGGCTGCCTCCGGCAACCCTACCCATAGTCTTGGCATTGTCCTAATCTATGTGAGCTATGGACTGCAGCCCTGTCCCTATATACTAGTGTTATAAGCCAGGTGAGGAAGGAGACTTCACACCTGACAGACACACCTGGCTCATTCATTTAACAGGTACCAAACGGGAGACAGACCCTGCTCAGGAGTAGTTTCCTGGTATGGCAAAGATGTCAAGCACCACTCTACTTCAGCATGACTTGACACCCCAGTCCATCAGGACTTCTGATATCTTATACTAGCATGCTTTGGACATGGTTCCCACTCTGACAACTGGCATTAGCTGGCTCTAGGAGCCTCTACCTTCCTCTTGTTTTCTTAGAATGATGTTTCTATGACCCAATGCTCCCCTTCACAATTTTTTTTTTTTTGTATTTACTGCTTTTGGTGTAAAGGCTCACCTAGCAGAAGCCTTATTGGAATTATGCTTTACCCTGGGACAGAATCTTGTGCACTTCAGCCCAAAGCTGAAGACAGCACAGAGAGGGGGAAGCTAGAGGTTGAAGGAGCAT